TAATGACCAAGTCTGGCTCCCAAGAAAAGAGATGGGAATGCACCTGCCTCCCCTAGCTCAGAGGTGGAGGGAACAGGTGTGGAACTTATGTCAGACATTGTTGCTATGTTGGTTCATTTTGTCAGATGACCTTTTTTTCTGTTCATTTTGATTCTTTGTTATGAGTAATGGCTCTCTAGGTGGGAGAGAGGAAAGGTAAATATTAGAAAATGAAGATAAAATAAAAATAAAATATATCAATATATTTTTAAAAAATTTATAGAGCCTGCCTTTAGAGGGTGGCTATGGCCTCACCCTCTTCCTTGGAGTAGGTGTGGAAGACAGATTGGGCTGGAATGAAAAGTACACAGAAGTTGGAGTGGAGAGTAAAGGAGGAGAAAACACCTGGAAGAAGTTTCACATCTGTACCCAACAATCAGCCAGCAGACCTGAGGTTTGTACTGACTTCACCTTACAATGACCACTGGCCACAATGGCTGTGACCAGCTCAGTCAAGCCTTCATGAGTCCCAAGATTACAGCTCTAGATATGGAAGACAACTGTTGGATCCAATTCTTTCTTTACTGGTCCGTAACTCAATCCTCAGGATTACTGTTTTCCCCTCAATCTTCTTAAGCAGGTTGGAGGGCTCATCCCCTCATTATCCCAATCAAATGTGTAGCACTCTCCTAGGTAACAAACTGCCCTCATCCCACCCATTTGCCACTCATTCCAGCCCCAGTCCTTCCCTCTGACCCTAATTTCCTCTTCTGACTACATCTATTAGGCACATACCATATACTTACTCTTCTTTTTCTTTTGGAGAGACCCCAAGTCTCTTCTGCTCTTTGCTTTTTCTATATCTAAGAGGTGACAGAGAGGCATTTCCATAGCACCTCTGCTCCACAGAGATCAATGGACAAATCCATCTTATGTTTAGTTATGGAAAAGCACACTTTAAAAGTGCTTCCAAAATTTAGAAGCTTTCTCACACATACTTATTGGGATAGTCACTACTGGCTTCAATGCAGTGATGCTTGAAATAGGCTGTCCTAAACGCATCTCACAAATAGAGAGGGCCCTTCAAATGTGAAGTGACTGATAATGCATTAACAATGACATCTTAATTAAAAATTAAGGGCTAGGGGGAAAGAAAAGAACTAGATTCTAGTAATAGTTCCAAAAGACTCAACTGAATAACCTCAGGCAAGTCATTGATTCTCTCAGAGCCTTGTTTTATCCATGTATAAACTACCTTTCTAACTCACTGTGATAATGTAAGGAAATGTGGGTGAAAGGCCACGAGTGACAACTATAAGGAACGAGCTGAGAGAATGAGTGACTTAAGAGGAGGGATACAACAGGGAATGGAGGATAGTAATGATGAAGATGGGGAGAAAAACAGAGGAGAAAAAAGGAGGAATAACAACAGTAGTGTTACCTCTTAGACGTTAGCTCTGTATGTGGTAAGTACTTTAAGAAGGAGAAGTTATTATGGAGAAATCTGGGAGGAAAAAAGAGAAAATCAGAAGGAGCTTTTGGCAAAGGGATGTTTCGGATGGTTGCTCCAAAAGGTATCCAGGCTAAGGAAGGTCATAAAAAATAACAAACAAGCAGGACATCTTTGAAAGTTACCTATTAAATTTATTATAGATGTAAAGAGAAAAGCAAACCCTATGTAACACATTTACAGTTTCATGTACAATCCTCTTCTTATGTTTTACAATGGATATGGATATGCTCATTTCATCTGGAGTTTAAGTTCAAAATAAAAAAGAATGAAAAAACTTTTTTTAAAAGATATCTGAGAGTAGAGGGCAGCACAAGCTGTAGCAGGAACGAAAGATGAAGGCAGTGCTAAGTCAATGTCAAAATAAATTATTCAAATGGGAATTTGGGGAGAGTTGGGAGTCTAGAGGAAAAGCAGAGTCATGGTCCTGAGATACAGGAGTTGAAAACAGCTTCCCACGAAAAGAGAAAAATACTGGTTTCCACTGATATAGCTCAAGGAGATTTTTCAGTGATCAGCCCTGATCCTTCCAGTTAGCTAGAGCTCCCTACACTGAAGGCCCTACTGAGACCTGGCCTGGAAGGTTGTACAAAGATCTTTTCTCCAAAAGTCTTAGTCTGACTGGATTCTTGAGACCTGAAGTCTTAGGAATGTGCTTAGGGTTTTGGCCAAGTACCATGTACCTGCTGACCTTTACCTTTTCAGAAGCTCTACCATCAGGGCAGTGTAGAACTCCTTTCTCCTCCCAGGTATTGAAGTCTTCAGCTCCTCAACTTCTCTTTGACACTGGGCAGTTGCCACTCTAAGTGGCTCTATCATTGCTATGACTCTCTTATTTAAATTTTTTTGGGAGGGGCTAGGCAATGGAGTTAAGTGACTTGCCCAGGGTCACACAGCTAGTAATCGTTATGTGTCTGAGAGAATCAAGAGTCTTTTCTTGGGAGCCAGACTTGGTCATTACAATTCAAGTGTTCAGTTTTGATTTTTTGTTTGTTTTTGCCATTTATGTTATTATAGTCATCAGACACATAACTCAGGTCCTCCCGAATTCAGGGCCTGTGTTCTATCCACTGTGCCACCTAGCTGCCCCTATTGCTATGACTCTCAAGGTAGATGATTGAGACCTGACTCCAGGTAGCTAAAAGATCTCAGGGGCCCCTTTACAAACAGGTTGAACTGTATAACATTTAAGCACCAAGCATTAAGATTTCCCTTCCCTCCAAAGTGACAAAAATACAAGACAAATAAATTGAATAGAGTTCCCCCAAGCTCTTCCTGGACAAAAGAGGCACAAAGTTTCAGAATCAAGAGACAAAGGCTTCCACAAGATGTAGAAGGGAAGATAAAACTAAAGGCAGTCTGATGGTTGGGTGCTAGGTAGGCACAAGATGTTTACAGGAATAACTTGCATAGGAATGCCACCCAAAGCAGACAATGTTTAAGAAACAAGATGTCTACACTGTAAAGGCGTCTTCAAGAAAAAGTGGAATATGGAATAGTGACCATTCATGAAACACAAGCAGTCATTGACCATGGAACAGGAAAAGGAGCATGACCACTCCCCACTAAGTAAGGCTAAAGGGAATGAACATACAATTTTTGAAAGAAAAAATATAAACTATCAACAGGTATATAAAAGACTACTTCAAGCCCACTAAAAATAAGAAAAATGTACATTACAACCACATTGATGCTTCAGCTCAGAGCAGTCAGACTGATAAGGATGAAGTGCTCTGTAGCCTTTGACACTGTGATCCACCCTCTGGCACCACCCTCTGCTGGTTTTCCTTCAATCAGTCTGATCCCTCCTCAATCTCGTTTGTTGATTCTTCATTCAGGTCACAGATGCAGTAAGTGTCCCCAAGACTCTGTCCTGGCCCTCTTCTCTTCTCCCTCTATACTATTTTGCCTGGTAAATCATCAGCTCCCATAGATTCAGTTATCAGACTGGACTTGGGGGAATAGCCAAAGAAAATGCCTGAAGCCTAGAGGTAGACTATTTTGTTCATGGAACAGCCGAAGGCCAATATCACTGGAATGAAGACTACTTAGCAAGGAGTAAGGCATAAGAAGACTAGAAAGGAGGAGGCTAGGTTATGAAAAGCTTTAAATGCCAAACAGAGTATTTTGTATTTGATTTTGGAGGCAATAGGAAGCCTCAAGAGTTTATTGGTGGGGGGGTGACATGACCAGACTCAAGCTGAAAATCACTTCAGTGGCTGAATGGAGGATGGCGAGAGACTTGAGGTAGGCATACTCAACAGTAGGCTATTGCAATAATTCAGGCATGAGGTGATGAAGGCCCGAACAAAAATGGTGGCAGTGTCAGAAGGGAAAAGGGGGCAAATATGAGATGTTGCAGAGGTGAAATCAACAGGTCTTGGTAATAATTTGGATGTGGGGGAGGAGGTGAGATAGTGAGGAGTCCAGGTTGACTCCTAGGTTTCAAGCCTGAGGGACAGAAAGGATGGTGCTGTTGTCTACAGTAATAGGTAAGGTACGACCCAGGGTAGGGTTTAAAGGAAAAGATGATGAGTTGCATTTTGGATGTAATGAATTTAAGATGTCTACTAGACATCTAGTTGGAAATGTCTGAAAGGCCGTTGGAGATGTGAATGAGGCATACATTTTCAGATGGACAACGGCCTGTGAAATGATTTATTTTGCTTGACCTAACTTATTTATTACTAAGGAGAAAGCAACCATTTTAATGGTGAGGACAGTGATATAAAAAAAGACAAGGGCAATAATTAAAACATCTAAAAAAAAAAAAGAGGATGCTGAACTTGTGGCCAAACAGAAGAACTTGGTTTAAAATCCTGGCTACACCATTTATTAGTCCCATGATACTGGGACAGATCCTTGACACCTCCAAGTTTCAGTTTCTCATCTGTAAATTGTCAGATTTTGCCTAGATTATCTCAAAGGTCCCCAGCTCTGATATTCCATAATTCTATCAAAGGAAAAGTAGAGGAAACAAACAAGGGCCAGAGAAATTGAGGAAGAGGATAAACTAGAAAAATGCTTTCACCAGTACAATAAAATGTGGTGTTTAAAAAAGACTAACAAAATATTAATCAGATGGAAACATATTACCATTAAGAATGGTCCTTGTACATATTTTAAATATTCTTTATAATTTTTTTCATTTGTTTGAAGGCAGCACAAGTTTCTTCTTACTTAAAAAAAAATCTGTGAGGATAAATGGGATCATGTGTGCACAGTGCTAGGAGGTTCTCAGGAGAAAAAAGCTCTATAAATCCAAGCTGTTATTATAACAATAAATTGTAAGCCAAATTATTTACATATTATAAATTATTTCAACATCCTCCTAACCACGTGGCAAAGGCTGAGGACATCAGGTCTCCCAGGCGTGAGGTTGTCCCTGGACCATCTCACCTGGAGTAAAGGTAGAATCAGAGAGAGCCCAGTTTTTTTTTCCACCTTCTTTGCCTCCCATCCCCCAAATCCTGCTGGAGAAGAAGGCATGCAACTCAGAAAATTCTCTTACCTAGTGAGGTCCCAGATTCTTAGGGGTAAGACATGTCCACAACAAGCCGTCCCTGTCACAAAGGAGCTGCCAAACAAAGTGAGAACACAGTCAGGCCCAGCTTGTTGGAACTTGTGGCAAAAAAATGGCAACACAATCTGAAATGTCTTCCTTATTCTCCAAGGGATCTTGGGGTCAAGCTAGAATTGGAAGAGCAGTGAAAGAGTAAAGAGAGAGGCTGGGGGGAGGTTTATGGGAAAGGACAGTTTTTCAGAAGCACAGAGCCCAAAAATGGAAGTTATGTCCATTATAAAATTCCCCAATCAAGGTTACTTGTAAGCTTGATGGTTTGCACATACTAGATTCCCAATCAGACAACACTGCAGCATATACGTAACAAGATAGTTTCTAACTGAAATCCAGTCTGTCCACTTGGGAGAATGTGAATTTATTCAGGGTCTTTCAGTTTCCTATGCCATGCTAAATGAAATGCCCTCCTTCCCATCCTAATTACACTAGGTGATAACTTTCTTCTATACCAACTTCATTTTTAAGGGGGGACATTCATGTTTTCAGGGTGAAGGAGTGCTTGTGAGCTTGGGAATACAATAAGAAAACAGGGGAAATGTAGTAAGTTGGAAAAACTAAAACTAGTGACAATGAAAAGGTGTATGTATATGGTTGTTTCTAAATTTTCTGTGTCTATGTGTCTGTTTCCATGTTCTAAATCCATGTGCCAGTTTCACTGGCCTAGTGGTATAAATAAGGAAGATGAGGCCCAATGTAGTGAACCTGGCTTGAGGCAGCCCTGGAATTAGAAATTACAGCTGTGGCAATGTTCTTTTGTGCAAGTGTCCCTGGGCCTGGCTGCTGCTTGGTTACATGACCACAGGGCAGGGAAATGGGGGTGGCCAGAGTACCAGACCTGCAAAATTAAATAGTAAGCAAAAAGGTTGAGAACAGCAGAGTCCTGAGTTCCTGAGGGCTGTGTCCCTACATGTCCAGCATTAGGGAGTGAAGCAGAGAGAGGCCTGGACACCAGCTCTCCAGGTCCTGGCTGGTGCTTGGCAAAGAACAAACAATGATAATGATACCCTGTTAACAATGTGGGGGCAGCAGCAGTCCAACAGTACCCAGCCCCAGCACCTGCTGCTCTCTGATCCCACTGGCTTGATGGGGGAGATAAAATGCTAAGGAGAACCATCTTGTAGAAAGCAATAGCTCTGGGGGTAGGGAAGGAAGTGATGGGATGGAGCATGGGCAAGCCACTGATTTATAATCAAAATTGCAGAGTAGTACAGTTCTGTTTTCTAGAATCTGACCAATAAAAGTTCTTTCTGAGTCATTCTTATCCCATCTGTTTTCCTACCTGAAGCTAATTCTTCAGGCTATGTGATATGTTCCCATTCCCCCTGCCTTTCCTCTGACCTCAAGAGATGAAAGTGCATTTCAAGATAAACTCACTGGAGCTGCCGTAGAGTGAGACCAAATACAGTCACTCCAGTCATGCCATCGTTGACCCCCAATCTAGGAAGCACCTTCAATCTGGGGAGCACTCTCTGAAAGATGAAGCCCCAAACTACAAAGCCAAGGAGGTGTCATGCCCCCTCCCACCCTCCTGTCCTGACATTTTTCACTCTAGTGTAATCCATTAATAACTGGTAAAGCCAATTACCTGGGGTTGGAAACATAATAGCTGCTTGGAAATCATTCAAGCAAGCAATTGGGCTCTTCAGAACTTTGAGGGGGTGGGGAGAAAGCCATCAGAGAATCAGGCATTTCTTAAGAAGGCCTGTAACAGACCTCTGACTGGCTACAGGTCTAAATTAGTGACAAGGTAAGTCAATAGGGAGGGAGATGGGAGGAACCTGAAACTTTAATCCCTGCCACTCCAGCAATCCTGACCTCCCAGTAGGCTTGTGGAAGGGATTTAAAGACCATCTCTCTAGTCTCCTTTTCCCTTCCCCATCTTGTCTACCCTACTCTAGCCCTGGGAATAGGAAAGTGCTCCAAGACTCAGTTTGTTCTATCACTGAGGCATTATGCAAAACTAGGAGTCTTTCCAAATCCAATTTCTTTCCGAAGCAGCCCCTTTGCCCTCCGTGCTTTTTACAAATATCTGCAGTGGTACTCACAAGCGACTTAGTTATTTCAATATTCAGTGAATCTGTGATCTTATCAATATGGGGAGAGTTAGAACTAGCAATTCTGGCCGCAGGACAAACAGCACACAGGGTACCCTTAAGTGAACTTCAAAGACAAATTCAGCTGATTAGGGTGGAGAGAACAGAGGGAGTAAATCTTACAGAAGGAACTTGGCCATGAATACACAAGAGTCCTGGAGGGGAAGGGGAGGCTAGAAGGAGACACCAGCTTCTGTAGAGAGAGACCCCAGTATAACACAAGGCAATGGAGCAAGGAATGAGGGTTGGGGATAGTATAGAGGCAAAAATTTATCTGATGTAGAAGCCAGCCAGAGTATAGGGTAAGGGAAGAAAGTACTACCTTCTTGTAATTTCCTTTTTAAATTAATTATTCTTGCTAACTAGGCAGTAAATTTTTGAATTTTCAAATGAAATTATATTTTGTAAAAAGCAGGTGTTACAGTATCTGGCACATAGTAGGCACTATATAAATGCTTATTCCCTTCCCGTTCACCCTTCTCCTTGTGTCTTACTCAAAGTATATAACTGCTATAAGAAACTTGGAAATGTCAGTGCCCTGGAACAAAGCCTTGATTGGCCCCATCCCAGTTACAGTTCCAATTGTGGTTATTATTTCCAATGGTACAGATTACAACTCATTCAAGTCTTCCCATCCTGTCCAATTCTTGCCAATATTTTCCCATGAAACCTCCATGGGAGTCCACCCAATGAGCTAGGGGCTTTCTAAATCTCTACAAAGCATGCGCACTGTCCCTCTATCCACCTCACTCACATTTTCTGTTCACATAACTTCTTTGTTGATATCTTTTACATTACTTCTTCTATGCAATTTTTGATGGGTAATATGAATAACCTATTTACACCCACAATATGTCTCTACGTTGCTCTTTAGGTGACCCATAGCATTCATTCTTTGAAGACAATAGTATTCCATGATTCCACTGCCAAAAGAACACTGGTATTAAAAAGATGACTTTTCATTTCAAGGAGTAGTCTGGGCTCATCAAAAGCACTGAGCCAATTCCACAATGCAATCCAGCATACTTTCTTCTTCCAATTACATCCTGGGCCCAGTTTCTTGACTATCTGTACTATTACACTAGATTAGCTCTGTGACTGAACTATCTATCCAAGCACATGTTACAGAATACCTGAACAAGATGTATTCTCTATCCATTTATTTATCTGGTTTTCCTGTGTGAATGGTTTGGCCAAACTCTTTGGAGTAATCATAGAGCTTATTTAGGAAGCTTAATAGGGCATGATGGAATAAGCACAATGTCTTCTACATCAAATAGTGTTCACCTATAGGGAGTCCCTTTTCCATTCTGCCTCTGTGTTGGATATAGGATCACAGAATCAAAAATCTAGACCTGGAAGGGCCTTTAAAAGTCATCCAATACAATCCCCTTTTTTCAGATGAAGCAATTAAGGCCCAGAGAGGTAAGTGACTTGCCCAAGATCACAAAGGTAGTAAGTGGTAAAGCCCACATTTGAACTTGGGCCTGGGGGCTCCATGTTTAGCATTCTGCATTCAGTACTCTTTCTATTGTACCATACTGCCTTCCATCTTTACAGTAGCAAACACTTTTTGTCTTCAAACTTATGTCTGCTATTAAGCTTCCAAGGAATCACGATTTTGACAAAAGCATGATAGATACCTCCTTGAAGGAGAATTTTTAAGGTAGTCCCCAGAATCACTTCCAGGGGCTGGCAATGTCTCCATCCCTATAGCCTCTCCCCCATTGGTGAGCTCTTCCCTGAACCTCCATTTGAGAAAATACCCACTACAGCCATCATATCCTTTTCAAACTCAGGCCAGACAATGACTCAGACCACCTTGTCACTCCATGGGCAAATAGATTCTATTCTAGTCACCTCTACTTTTCCTTTCTCTTTTTGGTTTGCACCCACTAAAAAGTCAATTCTTTGAGGGCAAGGACTATCTTCCTTTTTCACTTTTTTTTGCATGTCAACACTCAGAACAGTTTCTGGCACATAGGAAGTGCTTATTATATGCAACATCTACCAAAGTTTTTTTTATGAAAACTTTTATTCGTGTCTTTTGTTTCACATTGCCTATATTTTCCCCTCATAGTCCTCTCCTCTCCCTCCCATGGAGCCACTTCTTATAAAAAAAATTTTTTTTTAAATAAAGATGAAGAGAAAAAAATTAGCAAAAGCAATCAACATATTAAAAAAAAATCTGACATCATATGCCATGTTCCATATTCATTCCAAATGTTTGGGTTTTTTTTTTTAATCAACAAACAATAGTAGTAGTATCATTCATGATTTTTTTCCAAGAATTTGGCATTCTTGCATCTTTCAATTAATTTGAAAATCAATCCTTTGGGGCCCTCAAAACTGTTTTATCTGGTATAAACCTTCTCCTCTGGATGTATTAGGTGTGATCCAGCTGCTCTTTGTTTCCTTTAGGGTCATTTTTTAACTTTCTGATGTTGCACCTAAGGAAAATGATGTTAGAATCTAAATGTCACTAACAAAGAAAAGAGTTCATTATAAAAATTTTGACAGATCTTTTCTATTGTTGTTTGTCCATTACTTGTACTCCAGTTTGATCCATATGTGTTCTCAGGCTGATGTGGCTTATGTAACTGGATCTCATGCAAAGACTTCTATCACTTTGTCTTTCTCTCCACCACTTCCTGCTGTTTCATGACATGATGCCATTCATCATCTTCTACTACCCTCTTTTGTAAGATTTTCACAAACAAGTTTATACTCTAACCCAGCATTGCCCTAGACTATGACGGCTGCCCACTTAGCAAAGAGGGTGGGCCTTCCCTAACTGACATGGTTTCTAGGCTCTCTTGGTCTCTATGTAGTGACTGATTTATACAGGCACTTTTAATGATCCTAGGCTTTTCTCTGGAACAAAACCCCATCTTTTAACAACAA